GATGTCGTCAACATTACGAGCCTCTCACTTGGCTTCCTTCCAACATGCCATCGGGGATCAGCCGTCAATATTCGATATCCTTTCGCAAGAAAGCCTTATGACGTCGCTAAAACCAGCTATGGGACATTTGATCAAGGTGAGTCTCGAGTTTTTCATGGCACTGGAGTTTTTTTTATGATCTTACTGTAGTTCGATGTATCGATGTGCCTATATGTGAACTTGCTGGATTGCATGCTTTGCTGTCGCCTGCCAGCAGTCTGAACACCGCGTCGAGGAGTGTATCAGGGGGCACGGCAGGATGACCCCCTCTGGCTTTGGTACGATTCCTCCCCCATGCTCCAAGTGGTCCCTTCTAATCGTTGACATCAGTACGCCTCAATAGTTGTGTTCCTCTGCATTTCTGCAGAAAGAAGCCCAAAACTTAAGAATAATATAGTAATGACTCAGAATGTAATTGGTCTCATTTTTAAACATTGAGATGTCAAAATGCTAGGTAATTCACCAAAACTTTTGATATTGGCGCTTGAAATCGGTTCTATCTGTCCTTCTGTCTTCAATATAAGTTCCTCAGAGATAAACGGATTGTGGACCATTTTATACCTTTTTTCATTCATTTTCTGAGCGCAGTTTACGCGGCAGTTTCCTTTTCCACCTCTTTCCACTCCCCAAATAAGACTCCTTCATCCCACCGAAGGTAAACCCCCGTCGAGGAATCCTCGACCGTTGTTCATCCTGCCTGCGAGGCAGAATTTACATCACAATCGTTACTCATATTTGCTAAGCAATCTTTTCTTGTACTTCAGTTTCTGGCAATGGTGTATTCTCAACGCTTCCAAACAGCACACCGCTACTATGATGAACTTTATATGCTTTTTGATCTCATTCTACAGAATCAATACCTCAAAAAGTATGGTCAGTTTCATTAGTGATTTTACAGAAACAATAACGAAATTAAGTTGCGTTTAACTCGTATGTAAAATTGCTTTTTTTTGCTCAAGCAGCCGTTGCGTGCGAAACGTGTCTGTAATTGGTAGGCTGCCCACGGAACCAATCACAGAGTTGCGCTAGACTCGCTTCACTTCACCTGAGGCCCTAATT